TCTACCAGCATATTCCACTCAGGAAAAAGTATATTTCACAAAAATAAAACCTTAGCTTATTGTGATGAAAAATCAAAACTAAGAAAACCCAAATATGTTTGTATCTATCCTAAGAATAATAGTAAAAGATTTTGTCTTACTTTATTCATATATTTGTTCACTTTTGTTTCTTTTTCATTTTCAATGATTTCATGAACTCAGGGTTTACTCTCCCTAAGCCTTGAATCATTTTATACTTAGACAAGCTGAGTCTGGTTAAATCAGGAAAAATCATGCTTTAGACTTTTGCCATATTTCTAACCTCAAAAAATTACCAGTGTTCCTGAAGTCTAAAATGACTATACCCAGAGGAGCTAATTTTCATCTGTGCTTTGAACTTATATAAAAATCACAGCTGCCTTTATCTATCTGGCTTATAGGTTAATTTACCACAGGGTGTTCTGTTTGGTTCTCTCTGGTGTTACTTAGCTGATAAAAACTTGGAAATATTGTGACTATCTGTGTCTTGCCCTTATTATACTGTCCAATTTGGTTCATATCATCTCACCTCGCCCTCCCTCTCTCTCTCTTTCTCTGTCTCTCTGAAATTGGGCTTTGCTGTTGCCAAGAATAAATTGTTCCTTAGGGAAACCAGTAAAAGTCTTGATTGTGTGTCACCTTGAGCACAAGTGTGCCAGGTAATTTTCATTTTAACCTCAGTTTAAAATCACTGTTTCCAACTCTTGCATATCTTTGAAGGGAGGTGAGGAGAACTGATCATTATAAAGTCATTTATAATTCACACTTTCAACTATAGGATATCTACTAGCATGGAATTAAACTATCCTCAATCAGCAAGAATTAATATTTAATAGAGCCATTGAAAATATATATCCCCCACTGATGATAAATAAACACAAACCCAAGAGATAAATCCTCATTTCAAAGGGAGAATACAAGTCTTTATTTGCTGGATTAGCATTAAAATTTTAGATCTTTCTGGATTTCATCTAATTTCTGGACCCCTCATGAAACCATTACTTTATTACTTGCACTGTAACGCCTCCCTAGGGCTGCTCCCCTAGGTGCAGTTCCTTGCAAAGGGCACAGGGAAAACATTTCCAGCTAGTATAATAAGCAGAAGAAAGGACAACCTGCTTTTTTTAAGAAAAGAAAAATAAATCTTCAATTTCAAGATGGTAAACTATGGTAGATGCCATAACACTAGCAAAGTTTACATACACCTCACATTGTCTAAGCCACTCCATCAACCACTGTTTTCTTCTAATGTTCCAAATTTGGAGACATAATGAAGGTGGAATAGTAAATAAGGAAACAATTAAAGGCTCAGGCATATAAGTGCAGAAAAGAATTTGAATAAAACTCTGTGAGAAACATTTAAGCAGGGCAAAGATGCACCGAGATATTGCCATTGTGTGTAGTTATTAACAAGAATGAGTTATATCTATGTTGACTGACCCATAAAAACAGCTATGATCTATCGATTTTTAATAAAGGTACTGTACAATAATGCATACAGTATGACCTCATTTTTGTAAAATGAATAAACAAGCAAACAAAACTAAACACAATAGAAGGCTTTCAGTTTCTATAAGCATAGAGGAAAATACATAAGTATATATAATCAATGGTTAACCCTGGTTACCTCAGGAAGGTGTAGTAAGAAGAAAGTAGAGATTAAAGTTTTCTTTCCTAGTTCTATATTGCTTTGACTATCAAAAATGAATGTTTATTATCTTAAAATTAAACAAAACAAAAAATTAAGAAAAAAAGACAAACTATATACAAAGGAAGATACATGTATCATATATATGAAAGAACTTTCTGTTCAATTCAACAAGCATTTGTTGAGTGCTAGGGAACAGGAATATTGCTTAGATATGGTGCACTGGGCTACCAGTAATAGAAAACCCAACTCAAATTGCCTTAAGTAACATTTATTGACCTACATAACCAGAAGCCCAGTAGTGATATGGTTTCAGGAGTGACATGATCCATGACTCCAGCTCTATTTCACTAAGATTCTCTTGGTTCTCCCTTTCTCTGCATATTGACTTCACCCTCAATCTGATAGGAAGGATAGGACTTATTTCCAAGTATCACATGTCCAGAAGAAGAGAGAATTGCTTCCCTAGGAGATGAAGCAAATGCTCCTGTCAAATCTCTCCTTGTGCCTCATTAGCCCAAATTGCACCACTTTCCCAATCTTGAAAAATTAATTGACAAAGAAGATGGATATTAGATCAATTGGGAATAGTCTTGGGGCAGGGCAAGAAGACAGTCTACTGAGGAGCATGGGCTGAGTTGGGGAGAGGATAGGAGTTGATATCGAAACAGGGTTCCATTAGCAAAGAGAACAAAGAAATGATGACTACGGTCAAACATGAACAATGGTGACACAGTCCTTACCTAGTAGAGTTTACACATTGCAAAAGGCAAGCAATAAAGAAGGAATTATGACTGTGAGGAGCATTATGGAGTATATAGTGCTATGCTTTGGGAACAGATAGCAAAGGATTTATCACTGATAACAAGAAGATAACTCAGGCATTATTCTAATATGATTGCTCAATAAAAAAATTATTTTTTAATATTAATGGTCAGAATGTATAAAACATGAGACTTCAATATAGATACTTGTCATCTGTAACACTGCTAAAGGTTTCCACCTTGCAAACACGGAAATTTTGATAAATTCTATTTCACATTATTCTCATCCCAAAAGAAACATATATGTAAGCTGGGTTTTTACTGCATTAGTGAATATGTTCCTAACAGGAAGAGAACATCTGTTTTACTAGGCTTCAATGAAAATTTAATTATCCATTTCTAATTTTACATATATGAAGATTGGAAGAATTTTGCATAAATTAGTTTCTGGCTCCAAACATTTCAAACATCATTTCTTCTCCACTATACTTCTGGTGCCAAGCACTGAAAGATGCATTCATACAGCACCTTCATGTCACAGTGTAGCATGCATCAGCACAGTGGGGAGTAGGAGTATTCCTGGAAACCATTCCTATACTAGATTTGCTAGTAATAACTTCACTGTATATGCATCCCACTAAACTAGAATTAAAGTGTGTCCCCAATTCAATTTGGATCCCAAAACACCTACAAAATTCCCCAAACACAAAGGAAATATGACAGAAGGTAAGTCGAAGTCAAAAGAGAGAATGGTCTTGGAGTGAATGAGAAACTATATACATAAATATTACCATTCCTAGATCTTACATTTGTACATTGCACACACGACCCTGGGAACACACTGCTAAATTCCTGCCCAAAGCCTTGAAAGGGGCTCAGACAAGTGAGAAGCACTGAGGTTTATTTAAGCTTTATTAGCTTTATGGTAAACCCAGCTCTGCCTGGGAGAGAAAAGCAGGTTGAGGGAAAGCTATGCAAATATAGGAGGGAGAGAGCACAATGATAGTTGAGGGCTTCCTATAAAGGAGAAGCCTGGAGTGCAGGACACAGGATCAGGAAAGGGGCACAAGTCATTTCTTTTTTTTTTTTTTTTAATTTTTATTGTTATGTTAATCACCATACATTACATCATTAGTTTTTGATGTAGTGTTCCATGATTCACTGTTTGTGCATAACACCCAGTGCTCCATGCAGAACATGCCCTCTTTAATACCCATCACCAGGCTAACCCATCCTCCCACCCCTCTCCCCTCTAGAACCCTCAGTTTGTTTTTCAGAGAGAACCATCGTCTCTCATGGTTCGTCTCCCCCTCCGATTTCTCCCCCTTCATTCTTCCCCTCCTGCTATCTTCTTTTTTTTTTCTTAACATATATTGCATTATTTGTTTCAGAGGAACAGGTCTGTGATTCAACAGTCTTGAACAATTCACAGCACTCACCACAGCACATACCCTCCCCAATGTCTATCACCCAGCCCTCCCACCCCCCACCACTCCAGCAACCCTCAGTTTGTTTCCTGAGATTAAGAATTCCTCATATCAGTGAGGTCATATGATACATGTCTTTCTCTGATTGACTTATTTCGCTCAGCATAACACCCTCCAGTTCCATCCACGTCGTTGCAAATGGCAAGATCTCATTCCTTTTGATGGCTGCATAATATTCCATTGTATATATATACACCACATCTTCTTTAACCATTCATCTGTCGATGGACATCTTGGCTTTTTCCACAGTTTGGCTATTGTGGACAATGCTGCTATAAACGTCGGGGTGCACATACCCCTTCGGATCCCTACATTTGTATCTTTGGGGTAAATACCCAGTAGTGCAATTGCTGGATTGTATGGTAGCTCTATTTTCAACTTTTTGAGGAGCCTCCATACTGTTTTCCAGAGTGGCTGCACCAGCAGGGGCACAAGTCATTTCAATATAGACAAGTTTGCATATGTAGAAACAAGAGGTTGAGAGACGTCTCCTCTTTTTTCCACAACTTTCCATAGGAAGTAAAAGGCAAGGTTGTCTGCTGAAGGTAAATGGGTAGTTGTATCTAAGGAATAATGGTGAGGCTTATGAATAATCATTTTGGAACCTATAAAAGAGATGACCAGGGCAATGGGAAAAGTTTGCTAAGTACTGCTTAGGTCAAAATAAAATTGAAGAACATAATCTTGACATGTCACTAATCTTTAGAGTTGTGTGATAGTCTCCAGTACCATTCAGCAGCTCAGCTGAGAAACCAAATATAATAGAAATTTGTTGTTTTTTGACCACCCAATATGCATAGACCATCATTTTATTCATTGTACCCCAACTTTTCTCTAGAGAACCATGTACTTCTTCCCCCACTTTTAGTCCACATACTCTGGGCCCCAGTGAGCAGCTTGTTCCCTAGACACAAACCAGATTGTTTGGTTTTCTGTCACTTACAATGGGAAAAAGTCCTCACTGAATTCCGAAAGAAAGAAAGAAAGAAAGAAAGAAAGAAAGAAAGAAAGAAAGAAAGAAAGAAAGAAGAGAGAGAGAGAGAGAGAAGAGAAAGAAAGAGAGAGAGAAAGGGGGAGGGAGGGAGGGAGGGTGGGAGGAAGGAAGGAAGGAAGGAAGGAAGGAAGGAAGGAAGGAAGGAAGGAAGGAAGGAAAGAAGGAAGGAAGGAAGGAAACCAGAAGTGGCATAGTGTAAGTAATGGATAAACAAGATGGAATAGGCAAAAACTGGGGAGAAAGTAACTAAGGAGTATCTCGTCTTCTATTTGTACCTGGGGACTGAGACCATGTGCCTCTTGCAGCTTCCCCAATAAAAGACTTGACAGGAAATGAGTTAGGAGTTTGGAGAATGTTATTTATTGTGGCTTTCTAGAAGGGCCTACAAAGAAAAGATTCACTTAGGCTGAAACTGGCCATTTGAAAGCAGAAAGGAATGAAAAGTAGGGATATGCTAATGAAGTCCACTTCTGTTTGTAGCCTGCAATCCAAGATGGCTAAAAGTCCAATGAAATGAAACCAGTGTTGGAAAAATGGAATGCTTTCCTGTCAGCTAAGGTTCGTGCCAGGAAAGGCAGGGGGGAGTTGTTCCAGGAGACCAAAATTGGGATATTTTCCCATTCAACTATCTGCTGTTATGCACTCTAAACTGACAAAGAGAACAACTAACCTAATTGCAAAGAAGCTGGGAAATGAGCCTGCAAGCAAAAGGCAAATTACTGGTGACTCTTACCATAGCTATGGTTTAATTTTATCCCTAGGCACAGAGCAAAATGGAAGCCATTCAGCTGAGAGTCAAGTGCATGAGCCAATGTCTGAGACTAACGCAAGGCTGGCTGCTAAGAGACTGAACACAGTTCACAAACTACGTTTTGATAGGACATCTGACTTTGGGTTCCTAGCCCATGGAACTCAGGGAATGAAAAGGGCAGTGGGAGGTAGAAACCTTCATAAGTTGTTAAGGAAGTTGCTTTACTTGAGCTCTAAATCAACTCCCAGAACCCCAAAACTTTGCTAACCTGAAGCAGACTGCTCCAAGATGTTACTATTAGATAGCTCATTCTCCTCATATCCATCTGAGATGTAGGTATGGAAACAATGGACGAAAGAGAACCTCCTAAATGGCAGAACAGGGATCAGTCACACTGTTTATTAAATCTTCTGACTCAGTAGATCTTGGTGGGGCTTTGTACTTTCAATCAGCTAACTGGGCTTATTACACACAGACACACACACACACCCTTGAAATACAGTATTTTAGGGGTAAAAGAATCTGAGATATAGGCAACTTTGGGCCCTGACTATATCAATGATTGTCACTCATTCTGCCTCCCCATAAATTTCACAACCTGGGGTACACAGTTCATCAATGACATAAGGATACCAAGGCAAATCTGTCTTCTAAAAGTATCGAAAAGGGGCGCCTGGGTGCCTCACTTGGTTAAATGTCTGCCTTCGGCTCAGGTCATTATCCCAGGGTCCTGGGATTGAGCCCCACATGGGGCTCCCTGCTCAGCTAGGAGCCTGCTTCTCCCTCTCCCTCTGCACCTCCCCCTCGCTCATGCATGCTCTCTCTCAATAAATATAAAATCTTTAAAAAAATAAAAAATAAAAATAAAAGTATCAAAAAGGAAGCTGGGCCTGCACATGGGGTAATTCTTCTGGGCCACTATCAAACAGAGAATCCCATCATCCCAGGTAGTCTCCTCTCTTTGGGATACTCTGGCCAGAAACAAAGGGGTCACTACTGGCTTTATTGTGGCAGAAAACACTGTGTTTTTACCAAAACTCATTTCTTCTTCATCTGGGCAAACACTGCAGGAAGGTGGACACATATGGCTGAATTCTATCCAGTGGAATGTGGGGGAGAAGTGATGAACACCATTTCCAGGCTTGGCCCGTAAAAATCTCCCAGGTTTGTAGGCATGGTACCAGATTAATCCAGTCTGCTGGGTGCTGGCACAATGGGATTCACATGCTGAAGATGGTAGAGCTTCTATCATCCTGGTTTCCTGGGCGATTACTTGGAGCTAATCAGGAACAACTGAATTGGGTTGTTATATGAAAAACATGAACTTTTCTTGTGCTAAGCCACTAATTTGAGGGGTTTGTTGTCACAAAAGCTAGCACTAATTTAATAAATATACAGATTGACATTTGTGTCACATTCGTGGGGCCGCAGTAATACACCCAGAGTTATGATTGGACCAGGTGAGATGATTAACCAGGGTCACCTAAGGAAGCATGGCTAGAGAATTCTAGTTGTAATGAGAAGGAAGCAAAACTAACTGCTAGAAAAGTATCCCCCAAAGTCAGGATCAAGTAAGGAAAGCATTCACAAGAGAGAAAATAACAGGGAGCAAGCCAGGAGGCCCTTGAGTGAGTTGGGTTGCTGAGCATGAAGACAATCAGAGCATATGGTGTACATTGAAGGCAGAGATGTGAGGGCAGCAAAGGTGTTTTTGCACAGGTGCCCTTAGAGGGAGGCCTCAAGGTGCAAAGGAACTGTGCAAATCCAGACACTTCCAGCCCCATCTCTCACAGCCAGCTCTGCAACCCATTAGCTTGCTGAAGCCTCAACCTACTGGCTTCATTCCTCCAAACCCCATTTCTCAAAGGTTGGTTTACTTCTCAACTTCTTTTATTATTTTTTTTAATTTATTTTTATTTATTTTTTTTTTTTTAAAGATTTTATTTATTTATTCATGAGAGACAGAGAGAGAGAGAGGCAGAGGGAGAAGCAGGCTCCCAAGGAGCAGGAAGCCCGATGCGGGACTCGGTCCCAGGACCCTGGGATCATGACCTGAGCTGAAGGCAGACGCTTAACCATCTGAGCCACCCAGGCGCCCCTTTTATTATTTTTTTAAGATTTCGTTTATTTATTTGGGTGGGGGGAGAGAGAGCACAAGCAGGGGGAGTTGCAGGCAGAGGGAGAAGCAGGCTCCCCACTGAGTAGGGAGCCCAATGCAGGGCCCGATCCCAGGACCCCAGGATCATGACCTGAGCCAAAGATAGACGCTTAACTGACTGAGCCACCTAGGTGCCCCTCAACTTCTTTTATTTAACTTAGGTCTGTACCTGCCACACGCTGATAATGTTTTCATGTTCTACTTCCTAGCCCTCAGCATATCCGCACTTAATATTTGAACTTTTCTGTAAGCTAGTAGTTGTTGAGTACATTACTATGGGTAACTAACTCCTATCCAGAAGAGAAAGAACCTGCTATTTTCACTATAGTGTGAACTCTACACTCCACAATTCCACTGTTTGTTAGCTCCTTCTGGGATTAAATTGAAAGCACCCAGATGAGCACCCAGGATGCAGAAGAGGGCAAATACCCATGAAGTCCCCTGCTTCTGGGACATCAGGACTTCATGACAAGTGCCACAAGCCTCTAGGCATTCCATGATCTTTTCACCAAGCTAACATTCCTGAGGAAGGAGGCATCCAGCTTTTTGTTAAAGGTCTCAGTAGAAACTTTGCCAGCCTCAGTCCCTCCCCACTACCAAAATCTCACCTGTCTCCAGTGGTCCCCATGTCTGAACCTCTTCCCAGGAAGAATCCCAACACAAAGAAACTATCATCGTTTGGATTACTGAGATCCCAAAGGTCTTTTGTTTGCCCTGGCCTCCAGGAACTGTATGCCTGTAAGGACAAGGACCAATAATGCTTAATAAGGATCTTTGGTTCATTTCCTATGCTTCTTCTTTGCAAACGAGTAACACATGACTTCAGGTCATAATGAGAATATTCATGTTTTATTTTGTGGGGTCCACCTATGCAAATTATCGGTACTGAGGAGTGCTTAGCGATGCTGAAACTAGAATACACCAAGATGAGTATGTGATGAATAACGTGGACAAATCACTAAAGCTTAGGGCCAAAAGACCATAGAAGAGTTAAGGACAAACTAAGGGCAGGCCCAGAGGCAACAGGATGAATCACAAAGTCCAAGCTAGGTGAAATAGGATAATCAGATTCTAAAGGAAAATCCTTTATGAATGAGGGAAAAATAAGCTGAAGAAAACAAGAAAGCCTAGGTACAAGGATGGATAGATGGCACCACAAGATGATAAAACCTGAATATCAGTGTCCGTGCAGATGAGGGCTTGAATTTTTACATCTCTACTTTATGTATCCTACGGCTTCTTAAAATTCAATTAACCACTTACAGCCTTAAAGGACTTGTAAAATACAATGATAATATCTACATCCTAGAGTCATTATAAGAATTGGTGCTTATCTTGATGAGTGTACTTTATATATTTCACTACCCCTTCACCCACCTCTCCTCTGGCAGTTTGTTCTCTATTTAAAAGTCTGTTTTTCTCTACTTGACTAACATAACATAATAATAATTTTAAAAAAGTAATACCAAAAATAAATAAAATTTTAAAAAGTAAAAAAAAAAAGAATTAGAGACTATATATTTAGACATATATATTACTTGCATCATATAGCAGGCATCAATAAATGGTGGCTGTATTAATAAGATTATTTGGTTGTGAGCTTTCTATTTATTTTTTAAATTTTAAATAGGTTCCATGCCCAACGTGGGGCTTGAACTCACAACCCTGAGATCAAGAGTCACATGCTCTACTGACTGAGCCAGCCAGGCGCCCCAAGTCATCATTTATAATACTTACCTTGCTTCAGCCAACAATGAATATTTAGCATTTAAATCTTTTAGTATTTATTCATTGAACAGAATAAGTAAACCCCTTTTCTATGTAAAAGTCTAAGCTAACTGCCAAAAACACAGTACTACCCCATGCATGTACCACGTTACTTGTTTTTACGTGACTATCCATCTTGGTTTTAAACTGCCAGTATTTTTAAAGATTTATTACTAATATAAGTCATCTTCATTTCTATACAATATTACCCAATTTGGCTGCCTTTTTTGTTCTCCTAAATTCTTTTTTTTTATTGAGCCAACCCTTTGTTCTGGAACCATGTTAATATACCTTTTGGTCTATTTATACATGTCACATCTTGGGTTGACTTTTTATTCCAAGTTTCTTCCTGGCAAAGACAATGATCACAGTGTGCATACTTAATAAATGTTACATAATAATAGCCATTAAATGTTCCTTTAAAATCTTAAGCAGCTTTTTATCTTTAGCTTCTACTTTGAGATAATTATATACTTCCCCAAAACTATTTATAGCTCCCGTCAGGAAGAACAGCTGAAAAAAAATGTGTTCCCAGTCCTGCCAAAACTATGGTAAAAGTGATTTAAACTCTGAATTTCTGTTGCAAGTGTTCAAATGGCATTCAACATATGGATGTCTGAATCCAACAATAGAAAACTTTTCCCAACCAAAATCTCCCTGATGGAGGTGGTTATTGAATACATCTTGTCCATACACCATCATCATTCATTTACCAACAAACAGATATGCAAAACAGTTACAAAAACACACCTTGTCCTTCCTGTTACAGTCCATCTGTATCTGTGCTCCTCAGCTGCACCATGAGTCATGTCCTCCTCCCTCCCTTTGAAGCCCAAGACCCAGCATATTTAGTCAAGACCACAGATGTAGTCACAGATCACCTTACAAATTAGAGGAACAGAGGACTTCCTCCATGACATGATTTGCACATCCCAGGGTCAAAAAATTATTTACATATGTGCACTACTCTTGGGGTTGCCAGATTTAGCAAATAAAAATTTAGAAGCCATATCCATTCTATACAATCATGCCCCAAACCAGCCTAGCCGCAGTGTCTGAAGACCCCCAGATGAGAATCCTCAGTCAAGGAAGCAGGTCTATCTAGTGGGCTGGTCACTGGATTTGGAGACTGAAGACTGGGGTGCTGGTTTCAGGTCTTGCCACTTAGAAGCTGTTTGGTTTAAGTAAATCTATTATGATTTTTACTGCCAAGATCCTATTATCAAAAGGTCCATTTCCAGACTTTTGGGAACCACTACCCTTTGTGAGTCACCATACTAGGTGCTGGGGAAACAATAGACAAGCACAGTGCTCTGCTCTCGGGGAGCTTAGTGTCCAGTGGGAAAGAAACCTACGAACTCAAGGGGGAAAGGTGGGGCTGGAAATCAAGACCTAGCGGGTGTCTTCTTTTGTTCTTGTTTTTGTCTTTTGGCTCATTGCATCTCGGTCAGATTACATTTCCCTTCAGTATGCATAGGGTGCATCTGGTTTTACTACCTATTTGTTTTCATGAGAAGACTTCTGCCCTCAAGAGATGAAATAGAACCCACTGCTTAGCAATAGTAGCCTCCACACAGATGAACATGACCCTGTGACGTCTTGCCATCTAAACCAATCGTCGTTTCTGAGACTGTAAATACCTTTGGGGAAGTCGTACAAGAAAATGCCATCTTTCTTCCTGTCAGAGAGAAGTGTCTTCTGTGCCATTTGCAGTTACCCTGCTCATCAGATGAGTGTCCTGGAAGAGGAGGTGAGAGCAGAAGGAAATTCTCTCTAGCTACTGACAGTTTCCCAAGGAGTCCCCAGCATCCATGAAGGAAGAGTTCTTCCAGCATAGGTCCAGAGGGACAGAAGTGACAGCAACGCTTACCAGAGCAATGTGGGGTATGCAGACCCAGCTTAGGTCCCCTCCGAAGTTTAAGTCCACACTGAGAACAAATTGCTGGCCCACACACCAGGAAGCAGCAATTCCTGGCCTCATCACATTGACCTGCCTGGGTTCTTTTGTCCATGAGCTCAGCTTGTTTTTTTAGTGGTAAAGCTTGGGTGATGAACTAAAAAAAAAAGAAATTATTTTCTTTAAAATGTAAACATTCTATTATTCTTCTTTCTACTAATAAAAATGCACCTATGCAATTAAGATACTTTCCAGAACCACATATCTGGCTTCTGCTTACTTGATCACTGGTTTTTCCAAACCTAGCACCCTCATTGTCCAGCCCTTCTCTGTGTGACAGTGAAATCTCACTGACTTGAAATAGAAGGAGCTCTAAAGTTGGGAGCTGTCGGCTCGGTTAGAATCCCAGCTCTACCTCCTCATTGCTGCGGGAATTCGGGCAAGTCATCTAGTTGCTCTAAAACTGCTTCTTCATCTGTTGACAACCTCTAATGTATCTGACAACCTCTAATAGTGGTCCTGTCACAGATGGTCAGTAAGATAAATTACACAATTTAAAATATACTTTCATAAATACATAAAACAAACTACTGTAATAGGTTTAGGGTACAGTTTCTTTCTCAGTACAAGAATTCAGTTGATTAAGCAATTCTAATTACTATACCAATTAGGAAGGAGTTAATGGGCGTCTTAAAACACTGCCATCTTCTGCCAGGCTGAGAGGGATCTGGTGACATAGCAGGATTGTCAAAGCTGGAACAGAGAAGCCAGGGCTCTTGATTTCATCACCTCCACCTGTTCACCCCCAGTCTTAGCTACTATACCTAAATGCTGGTACTTTAGACAAATTGGTACATAATTGAACCCCAGTTGTACACCAAGGTAAAAACTTTCCAAAAGAGATTCTGGGATCTATGCAATTTAAGGGAAGTAGTGGGTATCTAAGTGTCCCCAAAATTTCTGCCACAGTCGGCAAATTCCATGAAGGTTCTGTGCCATGAGAGATGGTGTATCCAAGGCTGCCAGGGGTCCAGTCAGCTTACCAGTCTCTTTTCTGATGTAGCCAAATACGGTTAATGACTTAATACCAAGAACAAATCAATCTAGGTTTTATGTTAATATCCACAACTTTGTGTATAGGTTTTACTGCTATGATTATTTATTATCTAGGGCATGTAGAGTAGTAATGATCCAGTATGATGCTAAGTAAGCTCCTCTCACTAAGGACTCAGTTCTGTTAGCAGAGAATAATAGAAGCAAGGAGGCACAGAAAAATATGAACTCGGCACTAGGCCAAAGCTGTGAATCCAAGCTATGCCTGAAAAAGTTACTTCATCCCCTGGCAACAGTTTCCTCAGCTGGAAAAAGGAAAAAATACTGTGAATTAAAATAGATAAAGTATATTTTGATATAAGCGGCCAAAAATGGCACCCATCATTATTATTAGCATACTTTTATGCTAAGAGTTGGTACTGTTACAATTTTAAATGTTTTCAAATTCCTTAAAAAGACATCATCCTTCACAAGTACCACAAATAATGAAAGCTCACATAGAAAGGAAATTGGTTTATATAATCTTCTGATCAATTGACTATTTTTCCCTTTTGGGAAGTTTCAAAATACAGTGAAAACCAGAGATAAATATTGTGCCCTGTGAAGATGTGGATTTGAATATAATGCAGTCAGAATGTGCACTCCAGGGCGCCTGGGTGGCTCAGTTGGTTAAGCAACTGCCTTCAGCTCAGGTCATGATCCTGGAGTCCCAGGATCGAGTCCCACATCAGGCTCCCTGCTCAGCAGGGAGTCTGCTTCTCCCTCTGACCCTCTTCCCTCTCGTGCTCTCTGTCTCTCATTCTCTCTTTCTCAAATAAATAAATAAAATCTTTAAAAAAAATTTAAAAAAAAAGAATGTGCACTCCACCCTCTGCCACAACCTTATCTCAGTCATTTTACTAACCTCAACACAAACTGAATTTTTTGGACTAGCAGTACAGCATCATAGGAGGATTTTATTATATTTTAAATTTGAACTTCACCATTGTAATCGTCTTTTGCTGTGCCAGTTTGGATAGGCTACAGTCCCCAGTTCATCCATCAAACACTAATCTAAGTGTTGCTGTGAAGGTATTTTATAGATGTGATTAAAGTCCATCATCAATCCACGTTAACTAAGAGAGACTGTCCTAGATAATCTGAGTAGGCCTGATTCAATCAGTTGAAAGGCCTTCCAAGCAGAACTGAGGTTTCTCCCAGGAGGAGAAAATTCCACCTTAGGCAGCAGCGTCAGCTAGTATCTATGAATTCCAGCTTGCCCTACCTGACAGCCTGCCTTTGGGATTTCAGATTTGTCTAGCGAGTCCCACAATCATGTAAGCCAGTTCTTGCAATAAATGTCTTAATATTTTCTACCTGTTTTGTTTCTTTTGTTAAGTGCTAACTGATATAGCCATAAAGCTTTTTTTCTTTTTGTACTAAATGTAATTGACTGCACCTTGATATCTCAATTGCTCCTAAAGGTTCTCTTTATTATGTATGAGTTCAGTAGGGTTCACGGTAGATGAGAAATGGTCTTTTTCTATTTTCATGATAGATATGAAAATGTTTTTAATTCAACATGATCCTCTACTTTGCTATATCTTTCTTTCCATTTCAGGAAAAAAAAAAAAACTATCAAATGTAGATTCAATGGCAATCTTCTTTTGTAACTTAAAAAGAAATATGTTTATTGCATAGGAGTGAGAAAGAAGAGAAAACCCTCATATCTAAATGGCAAGAAGGTGAAACTCATTTATAAATAATTGGTATTTCCTATAGATTTAAAAGTGGATTTTAGAAAGGACTTAGGTTTTACAAATGGAAGTGCGATCTGAAATCATTTTGTCAAAATAGGAGCAGACATTGTCATGGTTTTGCCAAGTGATAATCCAATTTTAAATAATTCAGCAGTAAAATTTCCATAATTCTCCTAGAGAGAATTCCTTAAAACTGTTTCTTAATACTAGTGGTCTTTTGCCAAGTTTCATCTCATCTTTAACTTCTCTGAGAACTTCTAAAACTAGAATATAATTATATACACACAGGTTTGAGAGCTAATTTGAAAATAAAAACCCAAAGGAAGCACGATTTAAAACTCAACTCAGATTTTAATTTAACAGAAAGTATTAGTCATGACAAATCTTTCTAAGATGAAGTAGTCCTTTTAAAAAAAACTCCACTTTTAGAAATGTTAAATATTTATTCATTTTCTTATTGGGAGCTATTTTCCTGGTTGTAATAATATGCACAAATAACCATACTTTTTTATTCTTGAATTACAACCCAAAATTCAAAGTGTTTTTTTTTTCATATAGGTCATGTACTATTGTAAAATAAATTAATTTTAATTACAAAGGACTAGTACCAATATATAGCTAAGAAATGTATTACCATTTACCTGTAATAACAAACATGTGCTTTAATATTTTTATTATTTGAAAACTGAGTCTTCAGTGAAGGCAGTTTAGCAGGACTAATGTTGTGAAAATAACTTTGAATTAAGCCGTCCTTTAAACTTAAAAACCATAGTAGAATAAAATGTCAAGCAAGTAGAAATTTTTCTGTGATATATACATAAATATTTTCATGTAAACAAAAGCAAAGATTAAGAACAAATTAAATATCTTTGTCAGCAACTGAAATTATACAAAGAGTAAAAAGATTATCTTATCTTCTTCATGCTTCCTTTGAACATGACTGGCATAAGCAGAGCAATGGGAAATTCGGTGAATTGTACATTCCCCTCATACTCTTCTGGAGATTATATACAGTAAAGACATCTCTCTAGAGGAAAAGAAAAACATTAGAGGAACTAGACTCTTGAAAGTCATGACTTTCAAATACTAAATGACTCCTTTTGCTCTAGCGTGAGACAACATGGCCCATCAGAATTTTGCCAGCTGAGAGAAAATACAGCTAACACTGGCGAGACCCAGCACTAACACGTGTGGCAGCAAACTAGGCACAACCATGTGTCGAGTCTCCTCTCAATGCAGATGACCCGTGCACTTGGAGATAATGAATGGCTTCCAACACTAACATTTTTGTGTAAGACAGACAATCTTAAAATGGGTATATTTTCAACAAGAGTGCTTCTTGAAACACCTGCTTTAGGATCAGGGACCCAGGGACCTGCTTGGGAATCAGAGTGTTCAACGAAATAGTGTGCATTCCTGGGCCCAACCCCAGCCCCTCTGGGGAACCCGGGCCTCTGTATTGTTAACAGGCACTCTGAGAAACAAACTGAGGGTTCTAGAGGGGAGGGGGGGAGGGGGATGGGTGAGCCCGGTGATGGGTATCAAGGAGGGCACGTACTGAATGGAGCACTGGGTGTTAAACGAAAACAATGAATTGTGGAACACTACCTCAAAAACTAATGATGTATTGTATGGTGACTAACATAACATAATAAAATAAAATTTAAAAAAACAAGCTCCCCTGGGAATATTTAGACACAAATTCCTATTAAAATTTGAATATCACTACTCCAGACTATTGGGGATTTCTTTTGACTCTCTCTTGATCGCAGATATTTCGCGATCTCTCTCATGCCTCTTACCTATAATACGCAAGAAGGAAAATGAAAACAAAAACATTTCTGATTATGTCTGTCAGCGGCAATAATTAGTAGTGGTATTTTTCTTTCCCCCTCAAGAAAATACAGGGCAATAGGCAAAATGGGATTCTGCACCTAAATTTTTCAAAGGTACATCAGAGTACATTTTTTTTTAAAGCTTCCAAAATATATACATAACAAACACATTCAAAATGATTTGTAAACTGCCCCCTATCAGGAGTCTCCAGTGTAAAGAGATCTGCTGTTGGGTGGTGGTGCTGAGTTCCCACTAACGCCCCGCACAGTCTTCTCTCACAAACACAGAGCATCTCAGCAGGCACCCGGAGCTCTCGCTCTTGCCCAACAATGCACTGCCTACCAGGCAGCACAGAAGTACCCAAGGACTGCTCATAAGAAAGGACAAAGGAAGCAAAGCTCAGTTTCAACTCCTATCACAAAAGGCGTCTCAAGACCTACCGCCAATATGGGAGATGAATACAGATCACGCTGACTTTCCTCAGAGAAAGTATAATTTCAAATAGACGTATTATTATCCGCTTGAAATCCAGTTTATATTGAAAATGGAAAGCATGATACACTTCCAGGTGCTCCTAGGTATCTACTACAGTGTTTATGTTCCATAAGATCCCTAGTGGACAAAACCAATTTTAACCTGTGAATAATATAAATTAGAAACCAAAGAGGTAGGTGACTGTCAGCAAAGGCTGATCCCAAAACAACATGCTGAGTAAGTGCTTTGAGTCCCAAAAGAGTTCTTTAACTGGAAAATGAGTTCTAATACCATCACAACTGCCTTGAGAGCAGGGTTCTTCAGGTCCCTCATGATGTCATCAATCTTCCAAAGTCCTAATTCCTGATACAGTGCTATGGGCTCTTCCAACATTCAGGAGACATTCCATTTTGAGAAACAGCTAATAAGTAAACTGCAAAGAAGTAATACTGGAGACCAAAGATTGATGCTGACGTCAGCCGAGCTCTTCACAAATCTCTACTCTCACATGGAGGAAAGCACATTAGAGTTGGGCAAGATTCATCTAATCCAACTCCGTGGCTGTAAAACTGAAGAAACAGAGGCTTATTTTTCCCACTGGCTCACAAAGCACTAAAATGCTGAAAAGATGCTATAAAAATCCAAAAAGTGTTCATGTTAAGTCAGCTATTTATAAAGCCCATGATGTGGCCAAGAGACTACACTTTCAACCCTTATGACCTTAGTCTGCAGCCCCATCCCCTTCAGCTGTTTTATAAAGTGTGTCAGTGGCCACAGAGCAAGGGGACCAAAGGCTCTGGATGTACCGGAGTGGGGGGGGGGGGCAGGTCGTCGGCAAGAGAAAAATAATTAGAAACCCCAGACCTGCCCTATTAAAACTTGCTCTATGCTCGGACCAGGACTTATCTTTGCTTCTTTGTAGGAGACACACTCTTGAGCACATTCACAAACTCTAGCTCTGCTATGGGCAAGCCCTCAGGCAACAGTGCTATTTTGCCCAGAACATTTAGAAACAGCTGGACAACTGGAAACCTCAGACCCTGCAAGGCCAAGACCCACATACAGCTGTATTGAACTTCTCCATAGTTGTCAGTCACTTATTTTGTAGACCAAAAAAAATCACCTTATTTCCTTATAGCCTTATTTGTCTAAGATTTTTAAGTTCCACTGTAAAAGGGTGGTTGTGATTTTTTTTCTATTTTCCACACTTTTTGTAATGTTTTCACATTTTTTTGGTAATAAAAAAAAGTGAAACTACTTTTAAAAGGAAGGTTTTAGTCTAAAAAAATTAAAGATACAGAGTTCCTTCCTGACTATGAAACACTTAAACCTGAATGGTATGTCTACATGGCAAAGAACAGCAGTCTCAGGATTCTGACAGACCTTCTTGGATTCCAGCTCTACCATTAACCTTGGGCAGGATTTTCATCTCTCTGAGACTTACTTTCTTCTTAAAAAAGAAAAAAAGAATACCTACCTCACAGGATGCTGTGAGGAAAAAAATTGCACAGTGCCTGGAATATGGCAGGTGTCCAATAAATGGTAGGTCCTTCTCCCCACCGGACTCAGTGAGAATCCTTGAGTCAAAGGAAATACCACAGCCCATGCCAGCTACCTCTTCACTGCCTCCCATTTAAATTTGCAAGGATGCCCTGTCTCCTCAACTTTGCTCTGAAGAATCGCTATTGTGCTTAGAAAAATGTCTACATTTTTATGTTCTCTCCTTTAAAATTGGACATGCAGATAAAACATTTTTTAAAAACTATCTTCCTAGAAATGATAATGCAATGTTCCCTAAAGCACAACATGTCATGTATAAAAACAATTCTGAAAAACATGACTGAATTAGTTTGTACATTATTTCTTAAAGTGCACCAAAGTAAATATTAATGACCTTTAAAATGTCACTACTGCCTTGGGTTATTTTTTTTCAATAAAAGTAAATATTTATCTACTGAGATGTGTGTGGTTTTGGCTCCAATGTGATGACAAAAAGCAGCAATGTCTTCCGGAAAAAAAAAAAAATGATAAACTCAATTAAGCATACCTTAGCAGCATCCAAAACACCTACAATTCAATGTAACTGCAGGCTCAATAAAGCACAGTCTTGATTCCTGCTTCAAAAACAAAATCAATCAAAGAAACAAAACACCATCTCCCCACCCTAAATCAAGGATTTCTCTTGAACCCTGGAGGTAACATTTGTGATCATTTCCCTATTGTGTATCCTTGGTAATAGAATTATAACTAATCACCATTCTTTCTTTACACTGAGCACACACACACACACACACACACACTCCCTATAAAAACCAATAAGGTACACTTGGAGGACCCATGTGAAAGAAAATTCAAAGTCCGATAAAGAGCAACCATCACCCCAAACATCAGGCAGTGCAACATTCACACCACTGTCCGGTGTTCCCCACACACATAGACAGCACTGGGACGTATCCGCCGCCGCGTGTGACCAGGAAGACGTGGCAAAAACTTGAAGGACTTGGGCATCATATCCAGGCAGGCGTCATGGAATTTCTTAATCCTCCAGTAGTAAATCAGTGGGTTCAATGCAGACTTGAGGTAGCAGAGCCAAAGTAGCCAGGTGCTAATCTCAAAAAAGTTGTGCTTATAGTAAAAGTGCTTACTGAATGTGGCCACAAGGCTGTAAGTGGTGAATGGGGCCCAGCAGACGATGAAGACAGCAAACAGAATCAAAATGGTGGTGAAGGCACGCGTTTTAAAGCCCATGTCAATGCTCATCTGGAAGGGTCTCTGTAGACTCATGAGACCCAGTTTGCTGGCCTGGCTGAGACATATACCCTCGGGATAGCTGTGGATCCTCAAGGCATTGTGCCGAAGGGTGTTGAGGATGCCCATAAATGAATACAGTATCACCAGGAAGGGTAGGAAGAAAGAAACTAGAGAAATCAAAATCACATAAGCTTGGTAACCCGGGTTGGTTGTATACCCAAACACACACTGTGGGGCTCGGGAAGGGATCTGCAGGTCAGGGTTTCCTACAGCCAAAGGAAAAGCTATACAAAAGGAAGCCACCCAAGAAACCGCAATTAGAATCTTAGCCCTATATGGATTTAGCTTATCCTGCCTCTGGACTATAATAAGGAACCTATCGATGCTAATGATGAGCAGGATGGCTACTCCCTCTATCACAAACAACCAGAAAAACATAGCAGATACCCTACAGAAGAATTTCCCAAAAATCCATCTTGTAGTAAGAATAGTTACCAAGGCGAAGGGCATGTTCAGCACTGCAAGCAACATGTCTGCAAATGCCAGGCTGGCAAGGAGGATGTTAATTGCAGAGCGCATGGCAGCTTTTTGGTAAACCATCAGGCAAACAACCAAGTTCCCAAGGAAAGACACAGACAGAATAAATATCATTATAGCAGAGAGGATGATCTGGAGAGGCAAGTTTAGGCTCTTAAAAACTGCTGGTGTTGGGGGTACGGCTGTGCCATTCACGGTCAAGGAACTCATCCCAGTGGGAGCCATCGCGTCCATGCTGTATCTGAGCAGCGGGCCAAGGCCGGGATGCTGGAATGGTGGAGGGACTGTAATGTTCACGTAAGTGTTTTCATAGACTACAAATGTTGTGTTGGTTGCCCCAGTTCGGGATGCAGTCAACACTGCGGAGAAGACCATGGTTTCAGCAGGATGGAAGGCGTGAGCAGAGATGTGGGTGGTCTTCAAGCATGTCAACACAGAGCAGCAGTATCATGTTTCATTGATGGGCTTGGAAACACATTCTGGAAAACGGACAAAGAGCTCCATCTTCCATAGCAGTCCTTTTGCCTGAAAACAAGCCCAAAACACAAAAAGCCAATGAGAAATGGGCTTTGTAAATAACATTTGACTTCTTACTTTTCATCATGAAAGACAAGTTTTTTAAACCTTGAAAAATACTTAAGTCTCTGGCCTGCTAAAATATGGTTGTTCTGTTTTATATATGTCAACCATGATGGAATTTTCATGACATTTATATATAAAGTAAAAATGAAGAAAATCAAAAATGTATCACTGCCTCAAAAGCAAAAGTTATAACCTTCCTGTTAATTTTTCTTTGAAATTTCCAATAGCAGCATGGCCTTTCCACAGTCACTATTAATATAGATTTTAGTATCTGATTCTCCTGAAAGTACTAATATTTTTCTTAATAACTCTTTGGTACAGGTTCATATTCCATTTTTACATTAACATAAAACTATTTGGCAAAGAACACTGAAGTCAGTTTCCTATTGATTGCATTATAATCACACACTTTTGTTCTAACATCCATATAAGGAGGTACTAGGTTATTTTCTATAAAGGTCTGAAACAAATTCCTGGCTTTCTATTTTTTCATGTTTCTTCTCAAAAATCCCAACACCAACCATACTGGAGAAGTTATTCAAGAGGAGAAAAAAATTACATGTAAAAAGTCTTGGTCATATTTTCAAGAGTTTTCTTTTTCTAAAGCTCTCTTTGCTTCTCATATTCTGTCTTCTTTCACATGCCCACCCACTTCCATCCTTTAATTTCTGATTTATATATTTTATCTTCTCAATTTCTTCTCCCTAAAATCGACTTGATTGTATGTTAGCAACTTGATAAAAGATGTCAAACAAATAACAAAGATGGGGATTCTAAAGGAGATAACCAGAAAAACATTCAGGTGTGGAGAATCTATTATAGAAAACTTTCAAAAATATTTGGTTATTTTTTTTTTAAGACTTTATTTTTAAGTAATCTCTACACCCGACATGGGGCTCACAACTCTGAGATCATGCATGCTCTACCAACTCAGCCAGCAAGGTGCCCCAAAGATATTTGGTTATCTTGCTCCAGTTTATCACCTTTCTCTTATCCTTACCCTCAACTTCTTATCAATTTCTACAACCCTAGAATTTTCCATAAGGGACTTTCTTAATCTACTATCTTACTAATCCACTTTTGTGGCATGGGCTCTTCCTTCTTTACTGGGGAGGCAACCTCTTTAATTAGAAAGATCTCTCTTTGGATTTATGAGCAGATGCCTTTAATAAAGCTCAAAAATTGGGGGAAAATAAATGCATGGAAGTTTAAAACAACACTGTGATTTGCTCATTATTTGAATTTAGAATTAAGTCATCAATTTTAGGGGAAAATGCAAAAAAGTTCACTTACTCATTTCCTGGGGTATGAAGTGTGGAGGCATCCCATTTGCAAGACCCAAAGATCTAGCACTCTAGCCAAATCACAGGCTGTCTATCATATTTGTATCTCTCTACAATCCCCTCTTCGTTGTCCAGGGCTGCCTTTATGAATAAGGAGAATACTAATCTGTTTGATTAAAACATTAATTTTACTATTTACTCTCATTTTTATAGCTTAAGTTCTTTATCCCTATTAGATTTCATTCTTCTTCACATGTTCACTTTGAAATGCAAAATATACTTGAACAAGAGGCCACACTAATCCAGTAATTCTCAAACTTTATTAACCACAAAGGTCCAATGGGAAGGAAGCAGTGGTAGCTGGAAAGCTTTACAACATAATCACCATAAGTCTCTTTAAAATTACCTAAATATAAAAAATAAATAAATAATAAAATTATCTAAATATACATACAAATAAGAATAAAGACTTTGCTTGCTACATAAATCAGTTTCAATACAAGTCTATCTCTAAAGAAAAATTATAAATAGGCAAATGTGTATCTTAAGCCTAACGTAATAGTTCTAATTGTGCTTGACCAAGTAAAACAAACATATCTCCATCCTGAAGTAGTACATGCTTTATAATTTATTTATTCTCACTGAGATATAATTGACATTGTAACTTTATTTAGTTTCATTTGTACAACATATTCAATATTTATATATATTGAGAAATGATCACCACAATAAGTCTAGTTCACATCCATCACCACACAGTTACAAAAAAATTTTTTTCTTGTGATGAGAATTTTTAAGATCTACTCTCTTAACAACTTTCATATATGTAATACAGTATTATTAACTATCGTCACTATGCTATACATTTTATCCCCATGACTTATTTAGTTTATAACTGGAAGTTTGTACCTTTGGACCCCCTTCACTCGTTTCATTCATATACACCCCCTGCCTCTGGCAACCACCAATCTCTTGTTCTCTTGTATCTATGAGCTTGGGCTTTTTCTTATTTTTTGCTTGTTGTTTTAGAGTCCACACATAAGACAGATCATACAGTATTTGTCTTTGTCTGACTTATTTCACTTAGTATAATGCCCTCAAGGTCCATCCATGTTGTTGTAAATGGCAAGATTGCATTCTTTTTGTGAATATTCCATTGTGTTTATATACCACAATTTCTTTATCCATCAATGCATCAATGGACACTTAAGTTGTTTCCGTATCTTGGCTATTGTAAATAATGCTGCAATGAACATGGGGGTGCATATATCTTTCTGAGTTAGTGTCTTTGTTTTCTTAAGATAAATACCCAAGAGCAGAATTGCTGAATATATGGCATTCTATTTTTAATTTTTTGAGGAATTTCCATACTGTTTCTATAGCGGCTGCACCAATTTAGATTTCCAACAACAACGTATGACAGTTCCTTTTTCTCCACATCCTTACCAATACCTGTTTCTTGTCTTTTTCATAATAGCCACTTAACAGGTGTGAGGTGGAACCTCACCTGTTTTGATTTGCATTCCCCTGATGATAAGTGATATTGAGCATCTTTTCATTTATCTGTTGGCCATCTGTATGTCTTCTTTGGGAAAATGTCTATTCAGATCTTCTGCCCATTTTTTGTTAGGATAGTTTGGTTTTTTGCTATTGAAATTGTGGGAGTTCTTTATAAATTTGAATATTAACTCTTTATCAGATACATGATTTTTAAATATTTTCTCCCATTCAGCAGGTTGCCTTTTCATTTTGTTGATGGCCACACTTTGAAACACTTGGTTTCCTCAACCATGTTGAGGAACAAAAACAAAACCACAATTTAAAAGATACTTTTTAGGTTCTCATATAAACATATATAGTCATAATATTTCTCTGCCATCAAAGCCCCCCTTTACTATAAAAACTTCTAACTTATAATTCATTCCATTATTCACTCATCAAATATTTATTTAAGTACCTAGTATGTGCCAGGCACTAAAGAGACAGCAATGAACAAATGGTTCGGACATCTGGTTAAAAGGGCAGACTGACCATAGACCCTGCATCTCAAAATCACACTGAAATGACAGTAAAGGGATTTTTTTAAACAAAATGTACAATCTCAAAGGACAAAAGGTATGAATGAAAAACACGTCAACAGATAAGGCATTTCTTTTTTTAAGCGTCCTAAGACAAAAAGCAGATGGAGTAGCTGACTGAACAGAACAGAACAGAAAACTCTTCACCCTCACTACTTCCAGGGAAATATGCTTAGAAGCAGCTGACCAACCCTGTGGGGCAGCTCTGATTGGAAGGTACCAGTTCCCACAGAAAGTGTAGGTGGCACTAAAAACTGTTACACTGACTGAAAATCTATCTTCAGGGCCACACGAGTCCCACTCCACGCCCAGGTCTCCCCTCCTCTGAGCAATCACATGAAAGCACACACACCCATTCCAGCAGCCCAAGTCTGGCACAGGTGAATCTGATGAGCATAAACTTGAGTGCAGGGCTGAAAACAGGGAGACTGACTGAATGTCTGTACATTCCACAGGAGAACCTAGCCTTCTTCTCTACCCTGTTCCCAAAGTGCCGGCAGCCTGACATATGCTACCCATGCAGGGCTAAAATATTCGTGTATTCCAGTAACTAAAAAGCCCTAGAGGAAAAATTTCTAGATCCTAACATTTAATGGTACCCCAAGAAAAATGCTAGTTTGGTGCCCAATCATCTTGTATACTGAAGCCCATCCACTCTCAAGCCTAACCCATGCACACAAAGCTTCTATTCAGCTTTTCGGTACCTATTAAATATAAACGGCCAATTTCTCTAATATAGAGAGAATCTACAAAGGAATTAAGCAAAGCCAATTTTGTAATTAAACATTAGGGAAAAGAACCAGAATTTATAAGGAACACAGCATGCATGGACTTAATAATGCCTTTGCCCTGGTATCTATACAGTGTTCTTCATTCATTATACTCTGAGCTCACCACAATGTAAATGTAAATATTTTCTGGCCTTCTTCCTTTTCTTACTGGGAGGCGTAATAACCAAAGCAGTGCTTTGAATGCTCACAGTAACTATGTTAAAAGATCTTTCCTCCAGGACTTCTCATCAAATACTATTGTGACCTGAAGTTTCTTTTGAATTTTATATTAGACTAAATAAAAGTTTTATAGTCAAAATTTGCATTTCCAAAAAAATAAAATACAATTTGCATTTCCAAAGGAAATGGGACAGTAGCAATGTGAGAACTAGAAAATTAGCTTAGTTTGATAATATCTGCATAACAGTCCTAATGCTAAATCTAATCTAGACTAGTCTTTATTTGCTATTTGGTGGAAACTCTTAACTACATTTTTGAAATAAGAAAAACTTAAAATTCTGTGTGAGTGTGTGCATACATGTATATACACACATCCCACATGTATGTGCCCACATAAAACTCACTGAGTTATGGCAGAAGTAATTGGATTTATGATTCTTTCCCTTTTCTTAAGGCATCTCCAGGAACAAACACAGAAACTGGGGTAATTAGGTTAATGACATGAGTAAAGTGTTTCATGTTTGGACTGTGCCAGAATGTCACAATTACTGGGGTGTCAGTGGCTAGAATGGGCAGTGGAGGTTGTAGTATTCTCTAGTCTTACCTGCTACTGTGGTGCTATAGATACTTGT